TCTGCTGGATAAAGGGAGATTGAAAAGCAACTACCAGGGCTGGCAGGTGGCATGGTGGTTAAGGGCACTGGGCTCCCACGTGGCCGACCCTGGTTGAAGTACCAGACCTGGCGGCTAGCTTTCTCCCTCTCAATCGGTCCCTCTCTGGTCAAATTAAAAATAAATAATTCTTGTAACTCTATGTTATTCTGGAGCAAAATATACTGGCCTTGGGGCCAGCAAGTGGCGTGGTGGTCAAGGGCACTGGACTCCTACATAGTCAATCGTGGTTCGAGTCCCGGACCCGGCGGCTTGCTCTCTCCCACTTCCTCTTTCTCTCACTCAGGACTTCTCTGGTCAAATTAAAATAAAGTTAAAGGGAACCAGCAGTTAGCATAATGGCTATGTCACTGGACTCCCACGTAGTTGACCACGGTTCACGTCCCAGACCCGGTGGCTTAAAACTCACGCCTGGTGTGTGTGCGTGCGTGCCCAAGATCCCAAGAGGAGAATGGAGGAGAAGGGATTGCGGCATGACCATCCCCTCCAGGGGGTGATTTTTCGCTTTCTATCTCTATGTCTCTGTCTGTCTGGCAAGCGCACACGCCCTATAGTAGAAAACCTCTCCAAAAAAAAAAGAAAAAATAAGTTAAAGAAAATCATTTTTTAAAATATATAAATTGGCCTATTTTTCCAACTTCTCCCTTTAAAGAAGAATGCCTCGTTTTCTTCAGGTGTAAGGAGGCGGGACTATGTGGTAAAGTAACTGGTCCGATTTCTTTCATTGCACGCTGCTTGGGAACATCAAATTGTGTTCCGGGCGTGAAAGAAATACCTCTAAACAAACGCTACTCTGAAGGACTCCAACAGCCCCCCATGAGATACCCCTAGACAGTCTGCCAAAATGCCAAACCTGGAGCAGCAGTGGTAAAAGCCGGAGGATGAAGGGATCCATGTGAGAAATTAGAGATGGGGGTTCATCACGCCTGGACCGACAAGCCCCAGGGTTAAAGAGCAAAGCCAACACCAGGAAATCTGTGGCACACCTGCCACTGGTGAATAAGTCATCCCCACCTGCATCCCCAAAGCCCCCCAAAGAGGGCCCCGTCTTGCTGAAGTGTCCCCTGGGCCTAGCACAGGAGTACGTGGCGCTCAGCCGCTGAGTGCATTTCTGAATGGACACCTGTCCATCCGCATTGACAAGCGATGTCTTACTAGGTGTTGCTGCATAGTCACAGGTTCTAAGGGAGCACTGCTCTGTTTTGTTTTGCAAACTGCTTCCTCTTTACAACTACTGGTAGAGAAGCCTCCTCTGAAGTAAGGAGTCCACAGGCAAAACCGCTGGGGGGGGCCCTGGGGAGATGGCAGCGCGTACAGGCCACAAACCTCCCTGTCTTGCAAGTGTGTGTGTCGCAGTAAGGGCTGGAAGCACCTTAAGGGACCAGGTCAGTAAGGGGATCAAGGGACGAACTTCAACTTTCATCCTTGTATTAAGTTACCCAACTGCGTGCTCTCTCACGGAAACAGCTTCATTTGAGACCCCGAAAAGTCAAAGTGTGGTCTTCACATCTTCATTGCCCTGCGTTCAACATCCTTTCTTAATCTCCCTAGCTGCGCCTTTCTGGGAATGACTACTTGTAAAGTTTTCATAAAACCGTCGCCGGCCACTTGCTACCCAGAAGCCTACCTGGTCAGGGACCTTAGCCAGGACGCCTGCTCCCCTCCCCCTCCTAGAGGAGAGTCCCCTCCCTCCCTGCCTACTTCGCACCAGAAACTCCAGCGTGTCAGGAGAGAAACATCCAGAGGCCAGGTCAGGCCACCATGCAAGGCAGAAGGAGCCGCAGCTGCAAACGAGGGCTGGATTTTTGTTCCTTTTCAGGGCTGGCTTCCCAACAGCACGGAGTGCAAAAGCAACAGTCGCACCCTCGCTATGGAACGCCCCATGCAGCTGGCTCCCGAGCACGCCAGGCGGTGCAGGGAGCCGGCCGGGCCGGGCCTGACAGCGCACAGACAACGCAGTGAAGTCAAGGCCTATCCCAGCGCGGGAGGGCCTCCGGCGACCAGAAGTTGTCACAAATCCGGCCATCACCGACTCCAGGCGGTGCCTGGTCCCTGACATTCCCAACAGCGACCCCTCCACGAGGGAAGGTCCCTCCGGGGAGCAGAGCTGGGGGCTGCGGATCTCAGGGACCCCCTCCCCTCCCGCCTCCCCGGCCAGAGTTGGGAGCAACAGGTCCGCACCCTCCCAGGCCGAGCCCTGCAGCTCCAGCAGCTGCTGCAGACCAGTGGCGCCCACCGGTGTGCCCGAGGCAAGGCCCCTGCACTCGGGCAGGCGTGGGGGCAGGGGCAAGCCG